TCTCTCTCTCTCTCTCTCTCTCTCTCTCTCTCTCTCTCTCTCTCTCTCTCTCTCTCTCTCTCTCTCTCTCTCTCTCTGTAGTTTCAGTGGAATTCTCCTGTGTGTGTTTCTATCTCTCTCTGTCTCATTGATCTGCCAATCTGCCAATCTGCCAGTCTGCCTGTATGTCTGTCTCACACACACACATTCTTTTTTGTCGAGTTCTTTATCGCGGACATCCCAACACACACACACACATACTAAGCTGTCCATCTGTGTGTGTGTGTGTGTGTGTGTGTGTGTGTGTGTGTGTGTGTGTGCGTGTGTGTGTGTGTGTGTGTGTGTGTGTGTTGTCATGTGTGCTATACATATTTCTGTGTGTGTGTGTGTGTGTGTGTGTGTGTGTGTGTGCGTGACTAAATTCATGCAATTCGTTTTCTTCCAGAACGTTCTGCTTGCCGGAAACGGCACTGGTTCTTTTTTGCCATACTGTAGGAGAGTGATATCCATATCCATCTACAGCTCTAAGGGGTTGGTGCAAAGGCACTTATGATGTTCAAGCCAGCCAAGAGGGTCAAGTGCTTGTCAAGGCTCAGGAGAACAGTCTGGATTCTAGACTGTGAACATTGTTTCGACTCTGTCACTGGCAACCGCTTCTGGATGTCAGATTCTGCAGCTGCATCCAACGGCTGGAATCGCTTCTGACTCCTTCTGCCTCTCCAATTCTACAGCCCCATCTCTCTGACAGTTGGGATCAAGCTTCAACTGTCACTGCCTGACCGCCAATTGCCCAATCGAGTATCGAGTCGACTCAGGCGTCGAGTCAATGGAGGCGCATTAGGCGGAGTTTCCCAGTTTCAAAATTGAAAACCAACTTAGCATGTTAGCAGGAACTCCGTCCTTTTCACACAGGTAATATACTGTAGTATATATATTTATTGATTTTTTTTTATTATTTTTTTTTTTTTTTTTTTTTTTTTTTTTTTTTGTACGAGTGGTTTTTGTAACAATCACGTGGATATAAATGGATGTAATAGCCAAGATTGAAGGATGAAAAGTTGAAAATTTATGGTTAAGAGGGGAGGGGGGGGGGGGGAATCCCATTTGTCAATCATCGACCCGAGTCACTCACTCCCCCTGTATTGTCTTGCACAGGCTTGCCCTGATGGAATAGTTCGCTTTCTTCTTCTGCTTCCAATTTCCCCCCCCCCCCTTCTTAAACCTCCAGTACGTGGCCCCAGCCTCGTGGAGAAATCTTTCATCGCCTAGGAAATTTTCAAATTTCAGAGACTTGGGGCTACCAGACCACAATGGCTGTTGGCGGCAGCCAAAAAAGAAAAATAGTGCACCGCTGCCCGTTCGGAAAAGCTTGGCACGCAGTGGAAGGCCATCGGGGCCAGGTGTACTTTTGGTTTAAATTGCGAGTACGCGGCCCCAGCCTTGCAGAGAGTTTTTGTCGTCACACGCAAAACTCGGAGGGGCCGCGCGGTGCGGGGCGCCGTTGAAAAAAAAATATCGGTGGCCGCCGAAGTGGTGCGGGTTTCGTGCTGACACCCGCGGCCCGATGTGTGGTGTGCTGGAGGTTTAAGGTTGTTAGAAGTCTGGTGGGCCCGATAGATGACAAAAAGGGTCCCAAGTCCCAGTCTAATTTTAGGAGCAGCATCCTCCGAAAGTCCGGTGAGTGCAGGAACCGGCACAATTGTGGGGAATTTGTGGCGGACAGGCCTAGGGTAGACCGGTACACATCTGGAGCTGAGAAAGATTGCCAATTGAGCTGCTACTTAAGCAGCTACGGTACCCTGGGCGACTCACTTGGCAATTCGTCTGTTGTGGAAGAGGTGCTGTACGTTTGTGCGATGGTCTGAGGCGACTGGTCGGGCATACTGGTGGAGTAGCTGGCACGAAGCAGGTAGCGAGGGAGGAAGAAGTCCACCATAGCTGATAGGGTGAGGGCCAAGGGAATTCCGAGAGAGAGAGAGAGAGAGAGAGAGAGAGAGAGAGAGAGAGAGAGAGAGAGAGAGAGAGAGAGAGAGAGAGA